TCGCTATGATTCCTAAATATCTAGCTTTCTGTGTCGTTCCTAGAGAAAGACCGCCATGACCACTTTCCACTATCAGCCTCTTGTCTCCAGTGGTCAAGACGTGACTGTTTCTATGTTGAGAGGCAGATCCCATATACTTGATCATCTGAACACTTCTATGTACCTTCCTAGATCCGCTCTCCTATTTGATCCTGCAACCTTGACATCGTCCGCAAATATATAGCTAGGCGAGCCAAGGCGTGCTGGAAGATCACTGATGTAGAGGGAGAAAAGGAGTGGACCTGGAACTGATCTTTGAGGAACACCACTAGCAATAGTTTTCACTAGCGAGTTCGCTCCTCCGACCCGAACCTGGAAGGTCCGATCAATCAGAAAGCTGTTAGTCACTTGTGGATTTAACCCCTTATCCCTAGAGCATCTATCTTGGCCAAAAGCAAGCGATGACCTACCAAGTCAAATGCTTTTCCTGAAGCCCAGATAGCATACTTCCACTTCCTTACCCTCATTCAATCTCGCTGTGACTTCATCTAAAAGATGTAACAGATTGCTCAGACAGGATTTTCCCTTCCGGAACCCATGCTGTGCCGCAATCATCAAGCGATGCTGAGTGAGGTATTCGCCTNAAAGAGAAAGACTTTATTTATACCAATAGTTTTCGCTGGCAAGTTCACTTCTCCGACCCGAACCTGGAAGGTCCGATCAGTCAGAAAGCTGTTAGTCACTTGTGAATGTAACCCCTTATCCCCAGAAGCATGTATCTTGGCCAAAAGTAACCAATGACCTACTGAGTCAAATGCTTTCCTGAAGTCCAGATAGCATACTTCCACTTCCTTACCCTCATCCAATCTCGCTGTGACTTCATCTAAAAGATGTAACAAGATTGTTCAGACAGGATTTTCCCTTCCGGAACCCATGCTGTGCCGCAATCATCAAGCGATGCTGAGTGAGGTATTCGCCTAAGTGGGTTCTGATAATTCGCTCTAGGGCGTTGTACAGGATGCTTGTGAGACTAACTGAACAGTATTTTCCTACCCTTTGTATCGGCTCTCCTTTGTGTATGGCGACCACAGTTGCCGTTTTCCAGTCCTGTGGCATCCTGCCCTGCCCTAAAGTTCTGTTGTACACTGACAGAGTGGGCCCTCTAGAACCTCAGTTATGTGCCTACCTAAAGCTGGGTGGATGCCATCTGGTCCAGTAGATTTGGTGGCGTTAAGCTCACCAAGAGTCCCACGCACATGTTCTAGCTCCACCTGTAATTCGCGAATGTAGTAGTGTGAAAGTCAGGTAGTGATGTGTACGCTTTTGAAGTAGTCCTTGAATCGTAGTTCTGTATCCCCCTCAGCTTGAGCTCATACTGTCGTTTGAGCTTCGTCTGAGCTGCCAATGCTTCGTTTCNTGGCGATCACAGTTGCCTTTTTGAAGTCCTGTGGTGTCCTGCCCTGCTCAGGTGGCAGAGTAGGCCACCTAGAGCCTCCGCTATGTCTCACCAAGACTGGGTGGATGCCGTCTGGGCCAGCGGATTTAGTGGTGTTGAGCTCACCGGACTAGGAATGCTGAGATTAGGCGTAGAGTTTTAGGCAGTCGCGGTCGACCACTAGAGCAAGTGATCGACCTCCATAGATTACGCTGGTTGGGACATGTGCTACGCATTTCAACAGATAGGTTGCCACGGCCAATGATGTTTGCCGAGGCTGGTAGCGATTGGAAAAAAACAAAGAGCAGTCAAGCTAAGACCTGGTACGAGGGTATGAAAACCCTAACCAGGAAACTAGGTCACATAGGCCCCGTTAGGCTCCCTGGCTGGGAACTTCGGGATGATGTTCACCGATGGTTAGCTACACTGAGTGATATGGCTGGGTGTCGAAAACAGTGGCGCTCGTGCATCCACTCGTTATTTTTNTAGCTTCAAGGTCACCATGACTTCCACGCTCCTGTTCCAGCCCCACATGTAATTTGGGGATACCCGGTCCATCGGTGTGGAGGTCAGATTGTGTAGTGACGAGTTGATCTATTCTATTTACGCCTTTGAATTATTCCCTAAATCACACTGCTATATCCATCTCATAGGTTTCTACTTCGCCATCCCCCAATATCAGAGGCCTTACCATTTTACTGAGCCCTCCCTTAGGTTGGACATAACGGTAGTAACACTTCAACTGGTAGTTGACACAATTTGCCAGCTTGAGTTCGTACTATCGTTTGAGCTCCCGCTGCACTACCACTGCTTTGTTCCTGTCCCTGGTTTACTGCGTCCGGGATCTGTGGCTGCCAGTTGACCTATAGGTGTGCCAGCTCCTATATCTACGCTCTATCGCTCTCCTAATCGCTGGGCTCCACCAAGGTGGTTTGATCTTCGCTGCCCTGAGTTTTAGGGGAGCGAATTCCTCCTGAAGAAGCAAGACATTTGCCTTGATCCGGCCCCAATGCTGGTCTATAGAGTCGTTTTCCTGGATAGGGGCTCACACCAGCTCCGCAGCTTGGTCCTTCAGCTTTGTCGCATCTATCGTCCAGTAGTTCCGGGATATCCTAACATTACTTCTACGATGCATTCTACTTATTGTTGTGGTGAGAACGACGTAGCCCCTTAACTCAGCAGTGGATGGAGGGTAATGTTTGTCACATCCCTCTCCCTCGTCATAATTATTAGGTCCGGTAGAGATGGCCTATCTCTATCTCTGTATCTAGTTCACCCCTGACATGTTGCTGTGGGGTCGTCGAGTGCATCCATTCTAAGAATGCGCTCTCCGGTTTCCGGTTGGCGCCCGCTCAACCTTCCAATCAATGTTTGGGAAGTTTAAATCTCCCAATATACAAACGCCTTGTGAGTGTATTTATAAGCTATCTAGGGCACCTAGGAGTGCCTGGTAGTCATTGTGTGTGCATTCCGGGCTTCTGTAGACTCCTGATATGCTAACCTCCCTAGAAGGTAGAATCAACGAAATTGAGCACACATGACAATTTCGGGTGCACTGCGTTATTTTGTCTTCATGGCGGAGTATATCCTGTTTGACTAGGACAACTACTTCACCCCAGTATACCCGCTTTCCTTTTCTGTCTGTGGACTGGCTTGACACTGGTTCGGGTATGTGGTATTCCTGCGTTAACCACGTTTCAGACAGGACAATCACCTCAGCCTTTGTTCCAGCAGCCACTGTGGCCAGCTTTGCCCACTTATTCCTAATACTACATGCATCGGCTCGCAATAGTACCAATGCTTTTCTGCCCCCTAACGAGTGTTGTTTGTTCACTCGGGTTTTCTCTTCGGGCTTACCACCCGAGTAGACATTGTAACAGTCAAAACAACTGAAAATTCCTCTTAATTACCTTGGATTTCCTTATCTTCCTCCGCAATCCTTCTGACGGGGGTTTTCATGTCGGTACATTTTCTATTTTTAACCTTCTATTTCACCATTTTTACGGTGAAGCATATCTATTGGACAAACACTTCAAGTGCTTTGCTCCTATATGTATATGGTATGCAGCGCTGCTTCTTGTTTTATTGTGAGTAAAGTTTGATCGGACGCTCTTTGTTGGACTAACCATTGCTTTCGGTTATATTGAACCCCTTTTGGCTGTAACACTCAAGATTATTTTGCCTGATCTGTTGTAGCGTGCAGAAGTTTCCTATTGGTCCAGAATTATCTGAAAGGTAATTCAAATCACTCATTTTCTTACTTTTTATTACTGCAGATATTTTCTGTGAATATTTGTAACATTTTCGCTGGATAGTGAATCAGGCTCACTATCAGAGGTATGACTGCCTTATGTATTTGTGACTAATGTAAAAATAGTACCGTATATTATTTTGGAATCGACTTGGTTCTCAATAATTTGGACTACGCGTTGCTTTAAGATTTGTTTATTGCTATCCAAAACGGGCGAAGGATCATTTGATTGAACGCATACAGACGAGATCCTTTTCGTTTCTCTCGGACTAGGACAATCGCGTTTGTGTCGTTACAGCCATCCCGTATTTTGGCTGATCTATGGTGCCAGCTGCTACTGCGACCACCGTTTCCTCTAGCTGGGGGACCTTGGAAACGTATGCTGGTCCCGGTGACAATATTGGCTTGCCGGATGCGGTATTATTTGATTCCATTCGAGTCTCATTTACTAACGCAAGATGCTCCAAAATGTCCTCAGTTACTACCGCATTCGGGTTTGCTAAGACCCGTGTTGCCCTGGGCCGTTTCATTATCTCAGCCCCAAAACGTTCTCTTCCCGTCATGTAAGTTGACGGTTTTCTATTCATTTCCGTGACTTGGGGTTCATCAGGGACAATTTCAAATCGCCCTTTAGGGGCAATCCACATTAAGTCTGCTTGAGATAGTAGCATATTCCTATGTAGCGGTTGGGCAAACTCCACCAGTAGGGGTCTAACTGGTGGCTGTGGTGTTTCCGGGGGTGGTTTACCACCTTCGGACCCGGTGAACTCTTCTAATTGTTAAGTTTGGCGGATCCCCAGCTAAAATTAGTATGTCATGGACTCTACACTTGTCCATTTCCCTAAGG